CTCAGGGAACGGCGCCCTCAGGCTTTGAACCCACCGATATGGTGGCCAGCCAGCCCTGTGCCATAAGGCCAAGGTGCGAGGCTGCAGGGAGCCACACCGTTCAGTTCTTCTAGCAGCTCCTGGAAGGTCTGTTTGGACTACTTCTCATCCCCCCTGTCATTTTTGTTACTACTCTCCTTTTCTAGGTTTCTCTAGGATTATATACACAGTCACCTCAACAGGCATTTCATTATATGCACATGCTACTCACCTGAAAAAGGGGAAGAATGTAGAAATCTGAATTTAATTGAAATTATGTCTTGGATCATTAAAAAAAAAAAAAAAAAAAAAAAAAAGGATTTTACATCCATCTGTAAAATCCTGCACAGCAGCTAGCAAGCCAATATCACAGGCAAAAATAATCCCCAATCAACCCACCCATTTTTATGTGTTCTGCATTCTTTTGGGAATAGACCTTGCACACATCAGTTGCTCCAACACAGACTCTAATAAAAGTTCTGGCCACCCCTCATGCTTCCCTGACTTCTTAAAGTCGTCTGTTATGGATGCAGAATTCCTCAGAGCCACAGAAGTACAAAACATAACTGGTTTTAGAGGCACGTCTGCCAGAAAAATACAAGATTTGCTGGTAATCATTCAAGAATGTTAATGTCCAATATTATTAATATCATAACACAGTTTAGTACTAAAACTAGAGTAGACTTTTAGGTCATATGAAAAAAAAAAGCAATACATAAGGAAGTTACACACCAGAATAACTTCCATTTATTTTCTTAGCTATGACAACAGTTTCATGGAGAGTAAGTTTTCAGTTTTAATGATGCTTACAGCCACATCACCTTGCAGTCAGATAGTTGTAAGAGTTTAAACCAACTAAAATTTGGACAGAAGACCTCAAAGCCTTCTCTGTCACCAGAAGCTGCTTTAATAGGCAGCAAATCTCCATGGCTCAACAGCACCAATTAATCAGGGAAGTAACGGAGCTCCTTGAAATCTGAGATGCTGCCTGAAAAAAACCCATCTCCTTGAGGTCACTCAGAATTCTTCGTGACCTTTTGCAAATACAGATAAATCCATTTGTCCCTGTTGAACTCCAAATGTCCACCTGCTCTTCCCTGGCAGTTACATGAAGATATTACGCCAGTGTACTTTATACAGTTGTGAAGCACTCCCGTCTGCTGCATTACAAGCAGCATGCTGAAAGAAAAAGTATACTTGCTCAGCCAATTAAAAAAAAAATTAAAAAAAAAAATCAATCAGTTGAGACTCAAGGGCATGAATGGCAAACTTATTCAGCTGCTCACAGCAAACACCAGTGAAGCAAATAGTTCCACCTGACCATTTTAAATGACTCTTCAAAAGATTTAAGCATTGCTGCTGATCAAAATAGTACCTTAAAAAAACCAAAGTATGAATAAATTTAAGATACAGTTGCTGACAGCAGCTCGATACAAACTGAATTGTGAAAGACTTATCTGTCCAGCACAAAACTTTTGTTAGGAGTGCATTTTAAATACACTATACTGAGTCTGCAGATATTGCATCTTACGGAGTAAAACTTGTTAGGGAACTAAAGTGTGTAAATATAGCATACAGCTTGGATATGTTCCATCTACAAGTAACTGAGAAAGCCTACTTTCACCTCGCAAAAGCATTTAACACTACTTTAGGTCTAGCCAATGCTGAGGAACAGACTTGTGAGCTATTTATATGCAAGGATAAAGGTGCCAAAAAAGGTTTTAAAAAACCTTGAGGTCATCAAGCCTCAGTCTATCTAGGAGCTGTAGCGTTCCTGCTACACAGGCAGTTCTTCATATAGCTGCTATCAGCGAACAAGCAGAATAACGTAAACCCAAGGAGAGATGCACTGTTTCTCTGAAAAACACATTTAAATAAGCAAAGACAGAAGCTAGAAGTGCTCAGTATTTGGCCAGCATATGAATGCATTCAGCTTAGTGCATTAGTTAACAGTGGGTGTAACATTTCCTCTAAATAAAACATGTGGAACTGCAAGATTTTACACCATTACACCATTAATGAAACCGTCATTTCACAGTGGGTAGCAATATCACAAAGTCACATCACTGCTCCATTCATACAGGGGGAAAAAAGGCTGTAGAATTATATTGTCATTAACTTGACAGGGCTCTTAAAATTCTGGCAATGTCAAGGTTATCTGGAAACAACCCAGGATGTTCAGAGGACACTCCCCAGTTATGTTAATGGCTTGACAAGAGCCACAGTCAGCAAAGTCTGCTTCACTGAAAGCCTAAGTACCAAGACTGGAAAAGCCACTGGAGTATGTAACTGTAGTTTATGCAAATCCAGTAGAGCGTCCATAGCAGGTCTGGGAAAAGCAAGGCTAAACCTCTTCAAATGGGAGAAGCGCTGCCATCCAGCTATATACTAGGAATAAGCATGATAAACATCCAGATTTTGACAAAAATGCCATTATAACCATTCTGCTGCAACAAACTGCTTGGAGGTGCTCACATGCTAAAAAAGAGCATCTATTGGATCACTGCAACATGACACTGTAACTGCAGAGACACTACAGCTAATATCCTGGCAATTACCTGGACACGAGGAAACATTATAACAAGAACAGGTTACAGAGCAATCAGTATCAGTCCCAAAGGCACACTTAGTAGATAGAAATTAAGGATGTCCAGTAGTACCTCTAAGCCTGTCAAATATCTCATCCTATTTTCTTATCTGAACAATGTGGCAGCAGGAGAAAATCCATCCAGTGATGATTTAAGAAACAAGTAAGTGCACAGCAGCATCCTAAGGAAACTCTACATACAAAGGTATGTCTGTGTAATCAGCTCTTTAGCTATGCAAGAAGCAGCTAATTGCCTGGTTTTTGAAGATTTTAGTCAACGTCTAATTCAGAAGGAGTAACAGGTCACTTCATATTAAGCACCCATCAGAATTTGCGTTATGGCAGGCTAAATGCTGAGCACCGATGCTGAACACTGGCTCAGCAGCAGCCAGGACAGCCAGATGCCACACAGGTCCTCAGCTGCTATTCCTCACTGACCAGTTTTTCCACTCCAACCTAGAAATAAGGCTCCCCCACCCCAAATACTGCTTTGAGGGGTGGGAGGGAAGGATGCCCCTGCTCTCCAGCATTTCCAAACTGTAGACAAGATGTCCAGTGGTTTCAATGGGGAACATCTGCAAAACATCTGTATTTTTTAAGAAATGCCTTGGGGCTGCACACCTTCCTGTTGAGGACACTGCAGCTCCTCTCCAGGGCCGCTGGCAGCCAGCCCAGCAGCATGCTCTGCCGCTGTCCCTATTCCCTGCAGAGAGACTGAAGCCAGTCACACCCAGGGAATCAGGCAGGGCCTACATTTGGACATGAGCACCGAATCCAAGAAGTTTTGCACTTCTCCCCATATGCACTGATGGCATTTTACTTTGCACTCAGATACAGCATCCTAATGAGCTTATCACAGATAGCAAAGCACTTTCCAGGTAAACTGCATCCAAGCTTGGTTTGGCAGGTGCCACTTAAGTACAAGTTAAGAGGAAAGCCCAGCCACTTAAATGCCCACTGCAGTGGATGCAACACACACACACACTACAAGCATACCACATTAATGCTTATAAGTTCACCTCTGCAGTAGCTGCTTCTGAACCAGAAATCATTTGCCATGATTTGACCTTCTCTGACAGAAGATTTTCCCACTAAATAACAGACTGACTAATTTTAAAAGACTGATACAGAATTGCCCTTACTTTGTTCACCAGACTCAGGTTTAACACCTCTGGAGATAAATCATCCAGATTAAGTGTAATGGAATCTCATTACAGCTCTGTTGCAGTATTTACTCTTCACAAATAAGTATCTATTTCTGCTGTCTTACTTATAAAATGTCCTTTTAGCTCTTCATGTTTTGGTGGCATTGGAAAACAATTGAGATCACAACCCACCTGTCTAAATATTTATGCTATATGATATATATGCTATATACTGTAGTTGTGATGGACAATGCAGACCAAGTATAACACTGATACCAGTACTGAGTCAATAGCACCCAAGTTATCTGGCCAATACCGTCACCCACATCAAAATAAAATACTTAGTTGATCATGATTAAACAAAACATTTGCTTTAAATCAGATGTTTCACACTGTTTAGCTTTTGTTCTCAAAATGGTATGTAGATAGCAAAGTAGGCAGCAGCCTTAGTATGCTACTACTAGAATCCATTCCTCACTTTCATGAAGCCTCATGTGGCTTAAATACTCTGGAAAAGAAAAGCTTTCTGCCACAGTCACTGTAAAGTCATATACTTCCACCTCCTTACAAAAAATGACCATACAGCTTTCATTCTAGCCATCTCTTCTACGAAGAAATTAAAGTATATACAAATTATTTATCATCTTCCCCCCCCCGTAGTTTTTTTTAGTCCCTTAAATTTTACGTAAGTGTATTGTTCAGAGTATTGTTCCTTTGTCCCATATAAGAAACCATATCTATTTAACCTTTTTAATTTTGCTATGACATGGCATCAGTTGAAATAACAGCCATCCCTCACCACCCACCCAGACGAAGGGTTTATTTTCCCTTAACGATGTTCAGGATTGAGCTGCCACATTCTTACATCAATTTCACTGCTGCGGAAGGAACTCTAAATAGGCCAATTATCATCAATCCCATAAAAACCTCTGTCCAGAGGATCAATGAGGTACACACAGAGTAGCCCACCAAGGCAGCTGCAGAACCTGAATATTCACGTGGTGAAAGCTTTGGCATTTACAAAGAGAATTTCACACATTTTTCCCGTGCTGAATCTGTACCTCCTGTACTATTCCCCCTTTCGCAGCTCGTGGGCAGGCACTGCTTGATCCGATCTCCTCAGGGCATTAATACACACTGTTAGCACGGCAGCTGCCACCCATCCCACTCCGTCCTCCAGAGCAACGACAGCTTCGGTCTTAACTAGATGGATACGAGCGACAAGGGACAGATGGCAAAAGCGTACTCACCATGTGCTTCTTTCTGCAGGAGACACACTGCTTCATAAATCTGCTGCACTAAGAAAAAAGCCTGACTTGGACTTCTGACGGATGCCAAGGGATACTCCTATATGATAACAGATTAGAGTTCCCTTTTCCTTTGTTCAGCTTTCAAATCTAATAGCAGTGGCACAGCTGAACCAAGACTGCCCATCACTCCTTATCCATTCACAGAGTGCTCCATAGGGTGATTAAGGAAATTATTTCTCTGCTCAATCCCCTGTGGTAGTTCAGTAAGAAAAAAAAAAAAAAAATGGCCATTTTTCATCGAACTCATGCTGTGAAGTTTCCCCATGACAACACAGCTGATTTGCGCAACAGTTATTTCTATCACTAACAAAAGAAACAAAAGATCAGGAATAAAGGGAAAATTGAATAAGAAAGGAGAAAAAAAAAAATCCTACCCTAGTTCTGGAAATACAATTCAAATGTTAAAAAAAAATGGAGTCTTATAAAGAGTACAGGCTACACAACCAGTAACAACCATGTTCTCTCATTTGCGTGACAGTATCTGGCAGAGAGGGAGGAAATGAGTCTTAAGTCCTGTTTATTATAAAATCTAAGACCTGATCTAGTTGTGAGACTAACAAGGAGAAAACAAATTTAAGTGCTGACCTATAGTTCTAAAATTAGTTTTGTTAAATGCATTTACTACTAGCAAATGTCATTCTGATTACATGAAAGCCAAAACAGGACTCTAGAAAGCTATGTGTTCCTCACAGCATACATCATCCTCCAAAACTAGATTTCTTCATATCTAATAGGTATCGATTATTTGGGCTTTTTTATGGGCTCTTCTGTGCTGCCATAGTATGAACAGTACCAACTTTGTAATCCTTCAGTGACATGAAACACCAGCACTGTTCTGAATCCAAAAGAATTGCCCATAGCCTTGACAATAAAATGTTTAAGTATTCATACAGAGGCTGAGTTTTGCTAAATAAGTAGACTATTATATTCCCAATCTTAAGGCAGCATCAGAATTGACACTATGCAACCACATTTTTTCTAGCACACAAGCTGTATGTAAAAATAGTCCTTTCTCCTGAAAGCAGTCTTTCATTCTTGACAGTGACATTTAAGCCTTTTATACTACAGGGGTGTTTCATCCTGAATTCAGCACAGTTCTTGTGCTTTTTATCCTTCAAATGTGTTCACTAAAACACTCAAAGGCCACTCCATTAGATTCACACTACACTGCCCCCAGACATCCTCAGTTGCAGCTCCCCAAGCAACGGTCCATCTACACGTTACTGGGCTTTCTAGGAAACAATTTCAAAGAGAAACTGAAATAGTTGAATACAAAAAAAAAAAAAAGTTAAGAAGTTCTTATTTTTATTATTTTAAAATATCGTTTTCCAGTTATATTCTTGTCACCACTGTCACCAGCAACTGCTCAGACTGTAAAGAATGACAATCAATTTAAGTATGAACCTTTGTCCTTGGAGTTAGATACTTCTGAACCGGCTTTCAGTCTCATGGTCACAAACCTGCAAGAGTCATCTACCTAAAGCATTGAGAGAACACAAGACTGGGTCTGTGAAATGTTCTCATCATTAAACCTTTGGTTACTGTAAGGAAGAAACAGTGTCAGGCTGTTGAGTTTCGGCAAGCCCCAACACGATGAAGGCGCACTGGAGAGAGGCAGTCAGCCTAAGCATCCTGCTCCAAGGTCTCCAAGCTGAGCCTCAACTGCACGTTCATGAGGAAAAAAAAAATGCAGACAACTTCAGAGATGGGGGCAAGTGCAAGGTGGTTTTGAAGTGACCAAGACCTAGACAGTCAAGAAAATATTTTCACAGATCTGAGCTTTAGGTTTTTTATTTCCAATTCACTGGTAGTTGATGGATTTTAAAGTGTTCATGTTGCTCCAGAAAACCTTATGGTCTTAATAAAAGGTTAGTAGGCTCTATTAATGCAGAGGTATTTACAGAATATTGTATTTAAAAATGGGCAGTGTCTTGATTTTTCTAAATCTAAACTTAAACCAACATCAACAACAGTTTACATCAAAATTTTAAATACCTATCAGCTGCATTACCAGCAAAGCAGGGTCTAATAATCTATTAGCTTTGCAAGAACTTATAAAAATGGACCATTTCAGCAAATTCCACAAGACAGGAACCTTGGCACATGATACAGTGAAATTTCTAACCCAGTTCTCCAGCAAAATCCTGGTTAATCCAGTCCAAAGCCCTTTATTTTCATCCCGTGTTTAGCATTAGTTTTTATATTTTTCAACTGACACTGTCAGTTTGTTCACACACCTGAGTAAAGTATTTGTTTATTACAGACAGAAAAAGGACAGGGTCACGAAAACAATCAACACACTAAAGTCAGTCTCTCACCCACACTGTCTAAGCAGAAGATAAGATCTGTAGCTCTGAGAGCAGTGGAAGTTCAGTCCTACAAAGCAAAATCTATACAGGCTAAGGTCTTCATGAACACCCAATTTCACCTGAAAGAGTGTTTTTATTCCCAGGGCTGGAAGTGATGCCAGAATGTATGCTGTAAAAAGTTTCCTAGAGACACAGCAATGTATTCTTGCTTCCACTAGAAGAATGAACAGCATCTGCCTAAACTTCACTTCCTTTGAACAGAAGTAAGACTCAACCATGCTAGACACGAACAGCAAAACTGAGCACAAAGGTCTGAATGTATTATTCAACCCGTTTCCCTGATCCCTTCTGTATATGTATTATAGGCTCAAGAACACCACAGGCTTTACCATATTCTGCCTAATTCCCACAAGCTGCAGTGGGAATAGATTCAGGACTTGTACAGACCCACAAGAAGGTCTGGTCAGCTCCAGGAGTTAATCACTAGTTATTCTTCCTCCTCAATACCACATGAATCTACGTACCTTTTGAGGGATGACTGCACCACACTCCCAGGCAGAGGTGGGATGGGAAGCTCAGAATTAAGATGACAATTTATCTTGATGACTAACTCTGCAAATGACATACGAATTCCATCTCAAAATCCAAGAGTTGTCAATATTCAAATATCAAAAGTATAAAGTGTAAGCAAAAAGCTGAACCTACAGTTTTATTGATGACAAAAGGTACTGTTAAAATACTGAAATTTATCTGTGCAAAACTGGAATGACCGTTTCCTGGTCCCTCACGCAACCAAGACAGGAAGTACAGAGAAAGTGACTTTAGGAGCAATGACACTGAAGAATTTCCGTAGTGTAGACAAAGACTCAAACTTAGCCTAGCACGTCAACCATAAGGGGTTTTTTTTTGTTAAAATCTAGGAATGAACATCCCGTATTTTGATGAATAAGACATTAAACACATGTTTAACCTTTAACTGAACTGAAGAACTACCTAAGGAACAGGACCAAGACAGCTTTAGTATCTAGAATTTTAGCACTTTATGTCAATCAGAAGAAGCTGTAAAATACTCTCCCCTCCTTCCTTACACATGCTTTGTAGTGAGTAGGTGATGATTAACTTTAACAGGAAAAGCCCTAGCAAACAGCCTCCTCACAAATATGCCAAGACAACTGATGTTAATCTAATGTAAGCAAGAGTACTGCAACAGGTCACAATCCTGAAGTCCTTATAAACACTGCACAGAGAGATGGGAGTGTTAATTCCTCCCACCAAGAAATCTCCATCAGCGAAGTATCCCAAGATTAACAGGTGAGTTTTTCAGCATCTCTTTCCATCCTAATTGTTTTTGCAGACATCCAGCTGCAACAGCATCTTCCTTAGTATCAACACAGACCTGACAGCTAGAGATGAGTTTACAGATGCCACTAACAGCAGTCCAAGGTATTAATTCCCTGCCCTAGTATCATCTTAAATTTATTACAAGTGCTCAGGTGACTAATTTATGCTTTCAGACAGTCCAGATTGTTAGGCATTCTTTATGTCAGTGCTGCAATCTAAGGAGAAGCAAGTGGAATGCAAAGAGCAAAAAAGCAACATAAAGTTGCCTAATTTGGCATACTCTTTTGGTTGAAAAATGTCAGCTGTTGGAAGTTGTTAGAAGCTGTCAGACAAACACTTCCTCTGAAATATTACTTAGTAACGGTCATCTCAGTGCATGTGCCAGCACTGCCTTGCTCATTTCCAGAAATCTGCCTAAAGTCTGGATGTTTGGGTTCACAGAATTGTTACTAATTTAAGAGGTCCTCATTGAGTGCCTAAAATTGAATAATTCTTTTAATTTCTAATGTGGTAATAATAGGAGTAATTTTTCCATGTGCTCAGATATTTATACAGCCTTATTTTTGGTATGGTAAGCCATTTGAAGATTTATATTCAACCTATGGCAGAGGAAAAGGAAAATATGCTACACCACACGTTCCTAGTAAGCCAACTACTGGCTTTAGATGCTGTACATCATATATTTAGACTCAGGCAGAAGCAACTTTATCTGAATAAGCTGCAGCTAAAAAAAAATAGTGTCATTTAAGTCTTATTAACAAAGTCTAATCTAAAAGTTATTTTTCTTATTTCTGTTTAGATTAAGAATAGTGCTATGACTTTTACTTGAATTTACCTTAAAGTGAACCCATTCTGTCTTTCCTTTGTCACATTTGCCTTTGCAAGAGGTTAAAGGACAGGACATCAAGCTTCTACACAAATACACTATCTGAATAAAACCAGAGACTTCACTTTTAAAAGCAGGGAAAACCACTATCATCATGACTTTTTTATTTTTTTTTGGGAAAGGGTGGGGAGCGGGCAACAACAGGGGATTGGAGGAGGGGTATATGGGAGACGGACATGAGATGACACAGGCACCACAAAAGAAACCTCCAGGGATTTAATTACAAAATATATTTCAGAGATTAGGATCTGCCTCTTTCAGAAAAACATCAGCTCTTTTGTAAGCAATTGCCAAATCACCTCCGCCCCCGAAAACCTCTGCCACCTGCCTGTGACACCCGAACTGGAGAGACTGAGCCAGTTCACATTTTGACCTACTTCATCCTGAATAACCGGTCAGTACATTTCCAGTACTCATGCAAAATACAAATTCCAAAGTAAAAAAAAAAAAAAAAG